GGTCTGCCTTCTGCAGGCTTTCTTCCTCCGCTAGTGCAAGCCCTTTGGCCTCAGATTTGCTTCTGTTTCTTTGGTATGATACAAATTAGCCTCTTCCTGCTTTTCTCCATCTTTGCCAGCTTTGTGCTGCTTGTTGGCTCTTGATTCCTGCAGCAAAAAGCTCTGCACTAAACATTCTCTCGGCTGCTGGCGCTAGGGCGGTGATGGCTAAGGACTGTGTTTTTCTCTTTTAAAGTTGAGCTCGGGGATGAAACCATTTGCATCCTGCAGAAAGACCTGCTCAGGTGGCTTGTGAGAGGAGGAGACCCTTTACTTTGCTTCCTATGGACACGGATGAAAAGTCCAAATCAGACTTTTTTTTTTTTATTTTTTCCCCCCAGACCTGAAGAGAACTGAGTATACATGGAGTCCCAGCTGAGTAGTTCATATATATTTTATTTGGTTCCAGTCATATCTTTGCGGGTGGTGGTATAAATTTGGTGCAAAGGAGGAGTGAGTCTGTAAATTGGGGGTAAAAATAGAGTCCTGAGCATCCTGACAGTTGGCATCAATTTGCTCTCAAACTTTCAACGAAAGGAGAAAACTAAATGGATCCTTGGGAAGGAGACACTGGACGAAGTCTGCACTTGTGCGGGGTGCATAAAGGTGCTCCTCAGCACCGTCGGGATTCCAGGCCAGGAGCTGACGAGCACGATTCCATCCTTGGGCTGCTCTGGTACTTCTAGCACTTGCAGATTTTGTGAGACCAAAGATAACCTGCAGAAAAAAAGAGTCCTGTCTCGGTGCTATATTCATGAAGTTCTCCTGACCTCCGGTGGTATCACACTCAGTGCAGGGTTGCTTTTAAGATAAAGCAGGGGCTCTCTGCAGACTTTGTTTTTGTTTTTATTTTGAAGATGAGGAGCAGGTCCAGTTTGCAAGTGTCTCCGTGTCAGGCTCTGCTGTCCGTGGTGTCTGCTTCGTAGCATCACTTGGTACTCAAACGCTGCTCCGATGGGAACAGAACCAATCTGTTCAAGCAGTCCCCCCGGATACTCTGCTGATGTCTCGCTAAGCAGATTTGCAAGTGTAATTACAGGCTTAGAGTTGAACTGAAATGCTGCCTTAAGTGTCAAATTCCATTAAAAAATATGGATATAACACCACTGCCACTCGAATCTGGTCCCCCTGGTACTGACTGTAAATAAATCTGCCTTGACAAGGAAACAGAAGGTTAGAATGAGCCTTCAGGATGTTTTGGGTTTCTTTGGGTTGTTTTTTTTACATGCTGTGACATTAACTGCAGGATTTACCCTGCTTCTGCTGGGCATCAAGCATCTTCTGCTCCACCAGCTGCACCGAAAGCACCTGTCAGGATTTGGCCGTGGCACGTGCAGAAAAAAGAAAGCAGAATATTTGCTAGCAAAGCACCAGCAGTGCGGGCAGCGAGCACGAGTCACGCTGCCTCTGTGACGGAGGGCGTTGCTTTGTCTCTTGTGGTTTGCAGATGTTGACAGAGATACTTGAAAGGACTTGCTTTGTCCTGCAGTCACCCAAGGCACCCGAGCTGGAAATGCCAGATGTTTTGATCACCAGATGTTTTGATCACCAGCTGTGCTTATGTGTTGAAGAAAGGAGATTTGGTGTATGTGGACACAGCATGCACAGTCTAGCAGAGGTGGGTTCCAGGGTGAATTACCCTCCTCTTCAGGAGCTGAGCTGACCAGGTCAACTTATTTATTGTCACCTGCCGCCCCGGTTGGCCATGGATTGTGGTGGAGCTTCAGAATCTCTGGCCAAACCTGGCAGACCTTGCTGGTCTCCCCTTGGCACAGTCCTGGGACTGATCCTGCCCCAAAGGAATTTCTTTGGCCCCTTGCAGTGATTCGGAGCCCGCCCTTAGTCACCGCGGGGCGTGTGGGAAGTGGCCGTCACCCTGCAGCGTGTCAGGTCGCTCTTGCGAACGCTTTTCTTCTTTCTGTTTCGCCTTAGCCTTCTGTAAACACCAAAACTGTGTGGATTAGTGAGCAGCGCCCTCTTTTATGGCGGAAAATTAGAATGATTTATTTATTTCCTGGCATATCCTTGGATCATCTCTAGGACTAATAGGAATCCACTCCTGGTTTTAACTTGAATTTCCTTTGTTTTACGTGTATGTGTAATTTGAATTCTTTTGATTTTGTGCCTGTTACTTTGCAAAAATTTGCACCAAGCCACTCTGAATCATGCACTTCTCTGGTTGTTTTGGTATTTTTGGAAGAATTAAAGCTGGTGGCTTCACCTTGTAAACTGAAGTAAACGAAACGTGTCCTGTAAAACCACACTGAGGTCGTGAGCCAAGCCTGAAAGGGCTCCAGGTGCCAGCCTTGGGCACCGCTCGTGGTCCAAGTGAGGTGTGCACGCAGGACGAGAAGCTTTTGGGTTAGCAACAGCCCAGCCATGCTCAGTATATCCCTTCAGCCTGTCTCCTGCCCCTTCCTGAGACAGCTGCCAGGTGTCCTTTCTCTTGCTGAAGCTGATAAAGCGACGTTTATTGCAGATCTGCTCTCTCCAGCAAAGGTTCTGTAAATGTAGCTGCTGGAACGGCTACAGAAGTTCCCGGCTGCCCTGCCTGGCTCACGGCCAGCCTGCGAGCTTTTTCCAGCTGCAGGACGGTGTGGAGTCCAAACTGGGAGACCTAAACCAGTTCGGGTTTTTGTGGGAGTCTCCTGAAATTGTGGGTCTCAAAGGCTTCCAGCAGGCTCTGCAGGCACCCCTTGCTACCAGAGGCAATCGTGTCAAAGCGCTGGCCGAGCTGGGGCTCGTGTGCCGTCGGAGCAGGCACCTGACGGGCAGGGCAGCCTTCAGTGAAGTGGGGCTTCCGCCTCTCGGCTCTGGGGCTGGTGTGGTCCTGTCAGCAAGGCCAGAATCTTCTTTTGTTTCACACCCCAGTAAGAGATATCAAACGTGCTGGCAAAGCCTTGGATGGGGAGGTCAGTTATGGATGGCAGAGGACTCTGTGGTGTGGGGAGGCTGTCCATCAGGGATCTAACCTGCAAGTTTATCTTCCTTGAAGGGAAGCAAGTGACCGGAATGGTTGAAGGAACTGTCACAGATCAGCTCCTCTGCCTGAAGGACAGAATGTGACAACGGGCATAGATAGCTGTAAGGGCTGACGGTCACACTGCAAAGGGGAAAAAACCCAAGTGCTTCTGTCTTGCTTTGTGTCGGAATTGCTCGTTCAGAGACATTCCTCTCTGGGAGCTGTGGCATTGGGGTCATCCGGGAGACTGGAGGAGCAAATGAGTTGGTGAAGTCAGCTGAAAGTCTGGGCTAATAAACGTTCCTCCCCGCTTTGACCCGTGTTTAGGGGGCACAGGGGGATCAAAGGCGAGGGGAAGGGTGGATTTGGGACGTTGGTGTTGCTGCGTGCTCTGGGCTTAGCAATGTAGGTGTGAAGGGGCACCCACGGTGACCTTCTGATGGTTTAAAAGTGACAGGAATGAAGCCCATTCGTGGCTTCTCTTTTCCAGAGCAAACTGACACCCCCGTCGTTGAGAGAGGTGGAGAGAAAACGTGGTTTTATCTGTGGAAAGCCTTGACCCAGTAAAGAAATTCTGCTAAGACAAAAAAATCTACCAGCTGGGTGCCAGCTTGCAGGGGAGTCAGGACAGGGAGGTCTCAGCTGAACACAGAGATTTGTTCTGGTCGGCCTCGAACAGCAAAGAGCTGGGGCTGCAATAAAAAACTCCCCGTGACAAGCCTTACCTGGAGTCTGAAGCCAGAGCCAAAAGGCAAATCATCTTTGTGGGCTATTAAGGAAAAAACTAAGACATTAAGCGAGGATCAAACGGTCTCAGTTTTGGAAGAGACTTGCAAGAAAATGGTCTCTGAAGACAGGGAAATTTTAACGTTCTTAAATCAGGCGTAAATAAATAGCCCTCCAAAGCCGAGCAGCACTGAGGGCTGCTCTATTTGCAAGGAGCACAAAGCCTTATCCAGCGGTTAGAGAGAAAGTTTAGGTGCAGGATCTTTAAATACATTTTAATGTTCATTGGCAGTCCAGTTCGGTTACTGAAAAAAATGTGAATTACTGCAGCTGTTAGAGATTAATCAGAAGGGCTTACTCATGTTTTTACCCTTCCTGATTTTTGATAAGGATGTGTGAAGGTGTTGGATGCACAATTCTGGCTCAAAAACCTGGGGACAGTTGGACTGGACTGAGACTATCTATATTAGAGTTTATGACTTTTACTTTTTTTAGTATTTGTATAGTTAAATATTTTAAACATTTATATATGATCCGCTCATATTATACATTGTATTTCACTATAGTTAATACATTACATGAGTATTATTACATTATTTTAATAACTTAAAAATGTATGTCTAATTTGTATGTAGTTATATACTCCTATTTAATTTTTATTTTTGCATTGAGTTGATTATCTTTGTTATCACTTTGTTAGCTTTATCTGAGACTGTTACAGCTGGGCTGAATATGTGAATCAGAAATAGGTAGAGGTTAAAATTTGGCTCCTTGGCCTTCACAAACTGGCCCCTGATGCTGCCCAAAAACCGTGCGCGAGGAACCAAGTGCTCTGCCACGGACATTTCTCTCTGTCCTGCTATTTAATTGTTTGGTCCTGGTGTCTGGTGCTCTGACCTTCCCTTTCCCCACAGTACTGATTACCTTTCAAGATCGTTACATTTTCTACCCTTATAAAGTCTAAAACCCTTCCATTTTCAGAGGGAACCACACTCTTC